AATTTTTTGTATTTTTAGTAGAGACGGGGTTTCACCATGTTGACCAGGATGGTCTCCATCTCTTGACCTCGTGATCCACCCGCCTCGGCCTCCCAAAGTGCTGGGATTACAGGCTTGAGCCACCGCGCCCGGCGAGTGAACACTTCTTGAAGTCATTAGCATATCTAGCTCTTTTCTATTAAGGAAGACATTTTCTAAAAACTGGGAAAAACAAAACTCCAAACAATGCCATTCATCTCCCTAAATTATTTTATTTTAAAAAACATAGTTACTTTTCAGATAAATATATAAATATGTAATGGATCTATTGTAATTTAAGACAAATTAATAAATATTTTAAACTTTCATTTTATTTTATAATACAGTAGATATTTTAAAAAAATCCTTTTGATTTACACAATACAATTTAATGCTTTCAATAACTATGGATGTGGGCATAATCACCTTTTACTTTTCATAAAAGGGAAAAGATAGAAAAGTTAAGAGACATACTTGAGATCATATAGTGAACTATAAAATTATAGCTCCAATTTAGATTCTTTAGCTCTAGATTAACCTTATGCTTTCTTATAAGCAAAGGCCAAATCAATCCAGACAGAATAGTGGCTGAAGAGGCACCTGGGGCAGCTACACTAAGGAGGCACTTAGGGAAATTATTGCACTGAACTTGCAAAACTCGTGGTATAATTAGAAAATAACTTGATTTATTTTGTCACTGCCAATTCAAACATATGCTGCAGGATTAATATTTGCCTTTACATTTAAGTTAGAAATGAGGCATGGTTCCAGCTCAGTAATTAGTATATCTAGAATAACAATAAAAATGTAAAACTTCTCCTGAAATTATAGCATCTTCACCACCCTACCCAAGATTAGGCCTTGCAAAGTGCAAGAGAGCTGTGTGTCTTTCCCATCCCCACCGCCTAGTGAGTGCCACTGCTTTTTGGTCACCTTCCTTAATGTGAGTTGTAATATTGGAGCTGGGAATTGGGGAGCGGATAAAGGAGAGTCAGTGGCAGCAAGAAAGTGTTTACTTGACTGGTTGTATCCTGTGATCTGAGCATCCTATACCAAAGGATGATTCTTTCTCTCCTGGAGGTACTTCTGTGGTTCTACAGAACTCCACCTGCTTCCCTTCCCCCTGTCTAAGTATTTCTGAACATCAGGCTCCTCAAAATGGGTAATTGTATTTCTTTTTCAGACGGTCACTTGACTTCCAGGTATCCCATGGTACACGCTTTGCTTCCTTTTGCTTAAGTCCTTCTCTATGCTCAGATTTTCGTTGCCCTCTTGATGAGGATCCAAGACAAACCCATACCATTTCTCTAAAGTTCTTGGTACTCGCTGATTCCACAGGCAGCCTTGAATTTGTGACCTGTCGTTGGTGGGAGGACAGTAACTTCACAAACTGCAGTGCTTTATCCACCTGTGTTTATCCAGAGTGCATGGCATTCTCCAGATTTTAGAAGACACATATCAAGCTCTTTAAGAGGTCTCATCGCATTACCTCTTTCTAGACTTCAGTTTAATGGCAGACATGCCTTACTGTTTTTGGTGTGTTTATTAGTGGGGGAATGTTAGTTATATTCAAAGCACGGCACCTCACCTAATCTCCAGCTCCTGATGAAAGTGATGGTTTAATAACTACAAATCCAGTTTCAGTCAGCTCCTTTAAGGTTCTGTGGAGGAACTCTCACCTCGCTGTGAAATGCAGCATTTATTCAGTCTTGAGGTAGATTGATTGCTGAAATGGTCCTCCCTACTTTCTTTTAAAACTTATCCTTTTATCCAAATGCTGTGCAATGCGACTTTTACTTCATCCTATCAGAAGACGGAGCATTTAAAAAATATATTTATTTATGTGTTTGTTTACTTATTGAGACAGGGTTTCACTGTCACCCAGGCTGGAGTGCAGTGGTGTAATTTTAGTTCACTGCAACCTCCACCTCCCAGGCTCAAGCAATCCTCTAGCCTCAGCCTCCTGAGTAGCTGGGACCATACGCATGTACCACTATGCTTGGCTAATTGTTTGTATTTTTGGTAGAGATGGGATTTCACCAAGTTGCCCAGACTGGTCTCAAACTCCTAAGCTCAAGTGATCCACCCGTCTTGGCTTCCCAAAGTGCTGGAATTATAGGTGTGAACCACCATGCCCATCCCAGAAGGTGGAGTTTATTTAATCATAATCAGAACTGCTTTTGGGATTTGCTTCAGTCATCTGAATGCAGTGGAGTGCTAGTTCTGAGCTTAGGCCTCAAGAAGTCTTGTATGGTTTTGCTTTCTCTGGATACCTTGCCCCACCATGTGAACAATCCCAGTCTAGTACACTGGAGGCTGAGAAACTGCAAGGAGAAGAGTGTAGTTGTCCCAGCTGTGGTTATATTAGACCAGTCTACAGCCAGCTTAACCAGCATAGCTATGGGGAGAGCTGAACCAAGAATAGCAGAACTGCCCATCAGATCCACAGCTGATGCGTGAGTAAGCCTAGCTAAGACTGGAAACTGAAACTACCCAGCTACCTTAGAGGCTTGTGAGTTGTAATAAAAGCATGTAGTTTAAAGGTACTATGTGTTGGGGTGATTTGTTATGCAGCAAAAACTAATGAATACAAGACTCGATGAAAACCAAGACTAAAATAGTTCCATTCTGACATCTTGTTACAGTAATACAGAACTTGAAGGTTGGGTAAAGTTGAATAAGTAAGGAAGGGAGGGGAAGAATATCACAGGCTGGGAAGAAGTGGCAATGACAAGAACATGAAGAGAGGCTGATATTCAGGAGTCAATGAATAGGCTAAGGTATAGATGATACATTATACTAGGGCACAGA